CACAGCGGGCAAATGGAACTGTTGCCGCCTTATCACTAATGCCACTACGTGCTCCACGGCGCATGACGTCTGCGCATCGTGACGTCACTCTCCGCATACTGGCGCCAGAATGGAACCAAGGTATAATTACATGTAAATAATGTTGGACTATCATATGTATGTCTCCTCGTGTCGATGCGTTATCGGATCCTTCTCCTGGCTTGGTATGAATGCAGCCCTCTGGGTGCTCAGCGATAAGTATGGCCCGTCGAGGCTCTACTTAAACCCTAACATTAGCCCTTTTTCTTTGTTTTTATTTAGGAATTCATACGCTCGTGCAAAACTATTCCAGGATCGCACTATGTGAAATCGGCTTCCATGCAGGGTCGGCGGTGTCTCTGAAATGCACCAATCTAAAAATGCCACAACAAATTGATTAAGACACAACACTCTGTTTACAACAGCAAATATTTACGACACAAAAAGTAATACTGTACAAGAAATATATAACGACAAAAAAATGTATTACGTCACAAGACATGTATTCGGACACAAAAACGAACTACGACACAACAAATTGTTTATGGCACACAAAGAATACAGTTCAACAAAATGATTACGACATACCAGTTGGTTACGAAACAAATAATTACGACACAACACTTGAATTACAACACAACAAATTCATCCCTACACAACAATTCAACAATTCAAGTATTTGTCGGAATCCCCGCTATCCGCGACCTTTTTTCTACTGAAACAATTGGGTTTGTTGTGAAAAGGAATGTATCATGGGCTCAAATGGCGCGGTTAAAAACCCATTAACTTCCCAAAGAATAAATCTTCATGAACGCTATGACCCTAGACTTAGGCCTAACATAATCGTGAGCCCTAAATATCTATTCATGTGAAATAGACTGTTGAATAAAGTCTGCGACAATAAATAATTGATATAACATAACTGAAAATTAGGACATATTTTCTTTTGTAAAAATTAAAGCACTAGAATAATTCCTGTATGTATAAGAGTGTATGTGGATGTGGGCTAGAGCGGAGCGAGCGTGTGTGTATGTATAAGAGTGTATGTGAATGTGGGCTAGAGTAGAGCGTGTGTGTGTATATAAGAGTGTATGTGTGTATGCGAGCGTGTGTGTATGTATAAGAGCGTATGTGAATGTGGGCTAGAGCGGAGCGAGCGTGTGTGTATGTATAAGAGCGTATGTGAATGTGGGCTAGAGCGGAGCGTGTATGTGTGTGTGTATAAGAGTGTATGTGTGTATGCACGCGTGTGTGTATGTATAAGAGCGTATGTGAATGTGGGCTAGAGTGGAGCGTGTATGTATGTATAAGAGCGTATGTGTGTATGCGAGCGTGTGTGTATATATAAGAGTGTTTGTGAATGTGGGCTAGAGTGGAGCGTGTGTGTATATAAGAGCGTATGTGTGTATGCGAGCGTGTGTGTGTGTATGTATAAGAGCGTATGTGAATGTTGGCTAGATTGGAGCGAGCGTGTATGAATGTACAGGAGGGGCGGTCGGGTAGCCTAGTGGTTAAAGCGTTCGCTCGTCACGCTGAAGACCCGGGTTCGATTCCCGACATGGGTACAATGTGTGAAGCCCATTTCTGGTGTCCCCCGCCGTGATATTGCTGGAATATTGCTAAAAGCGGCGTAAAACCATACTCAGTCAGTATGAATGTACAAGAGTGTTTGTGAATGTGGGCTAGAGTGGAGCGTGTGTGTATGTATAAGAGCGTATGTGTGTATGCGAGCGTCTGTGTATGTATAAGAGTGTATGTGAATGTGGGCTAGAGTAGAGCGTGTGTGTGTATATAAGAGTGTATGTGTGTATGCGAGCGTGTGTGTATGTATAAGAGCGTATGTGAATGTAGGCTAGAGTGGAGCGAGCTTGTGTGTATGTATAAGAGCGTATGTGAATGTGGGCTAGAGGGGAGCGTGTGTGTGTGTGTATAAGAGCGTATGTGTGTATGCACGCGTGTGTGTGTATAAGAGCGTATGTGAATGTGGGCTAGAGTGGAGCTTGTGTGTATGTATAAGAGCGTATGTGAATGTGGGCTAGAGGGGAGCGTGTGTGTGTGTGTATGCACGCGTGTGTGTGTATAAAAGTGTATGTGAATGTAGGCTAGAGTGGAGCGAGCTTGTGTGTATGTATAAGAGCGTATGTGAATGTGGGCTAGAGGGGAGCGTGTGTGTGTGTGTATGCACGCGTGTGTGTGTATAAAAGTGTATGTGAATGTAGGCTAGAGTGGAGCGAGCTTGTGTGTATGTATAAGAGCGTATGTGAATGTGGGCTAGAGTGGAGCGTGTATGTATGTATAAGAGCGTATGTGAATGTGGGCTAGAGTGGAGCGAGCTTGTGTGTATGTATAAGAGCGTATGTGAATGTGGGCTAGAGTGGAGCTTGTGTGTATGTATAAGAGCGTATGTGAATGTGGGCTAGAATGGAGCTTGTGTGTATGTATAAGAGAGTATGTGAATGTAGGCTAGAGAGGAGCGAGCTTGTGTGTATGTATAAGAGCGTATGTGAATGTGGGCTAGAGGGGAGCGTGTGTGTGTGTGTATAAGCGCGTATGTGTGTATGCACGCGTGTGTGTGTATAAAAGTGTATGTGAATGTAGGCTAGAGTGGAGCGAGCTTGTGTGTATGTATAAGAGCGTATGTGAATGTAGGCTAGAGTGGAGCGAGCTTGTGTGTATGTATAAGAGCGTATGTGAATGTAGGCTAGAGAGGAGCGAGCTTGTGTGTATGTATAAGAGCGTATGTGAATGTAGGCTAGAGTGGAGCGAGCTTGTGTGTATGTATAAGAGCGTATGTGAATGTGGGCTAGAGTGGAGCTTGTGTGTATGTATAAGAGCGTATGTGAATGTGGGCTAGAGTGGAGCTTGTGTGTATGTATAAGAGTGTATCTGAATGTGGGCTAGAGTGGAGCGTGTCTGTGTGTGTATAAGAGTGTATGTGTGTATGCGAACGTGTATGTGGGGTTGTGAAGAGTGCTACAGCTGCTAATCTCGTCCACCTTGGGAACTGATTCAAATTGCAGAATGTGATGAAGAAGACACTTATTAACTCATCCTCCGTCTGTACACGCCCCATCTGCAGCGTAACCTGGCTCCGTACGTCCGTCATTGCTCGGTGTAAACCAATTAACTGTCCCGTCATCACGCATCCGGGGTTGTCAATTGTTCAGCGTACGTGCCGACTGCACGTTCAGTTTGGCGCGACACCGTTCCCCAGGCTTGATGGAATGGTAATCGCTAACAGAATGCGCGCACGAGTCGTAAAAAGCATGAATGGGAGGATTATACACCGTGGGAGTTAGCGCACGTGTCACGTGACCAGGTTGTAGAACTACGTCACGGGGATAGCGGATCTCACAGCGAGAACACATCACTCACTCTCCGGACAGGAGTAAAAACGCGACATTTGGAGATCAATCATGCGCTGTTGCGTACCTACCACATTATGTGTCATTAGAATAATATAATTGAATGGTTGGAGCGGATGTGTGCAGTTACGACAGTACCCCCGACAACTCGGCGAGGACAGTGAACCCAGCGAGAGTCTGGTCAGTGATCTCCAGAAGACCGGAGACAGCTGGTGACATGACAACATACCACACAAAGTACTGACCCTTGAAACAAAAAACTTGCTGAGAGTGGCGTAGGTAAGGTTTTGTTGCGCGACAACCAAGTTTGTTTCGATGGTAGACTGTGATTTGATTAGTTGGATGTTTCATTGTCGACCATTAGCAGGAACTATAAATGTGCTAGGTTTATAGAATTCTCGCGTTCATTTGGGCAACTATTCTTATCGTGTGCATGTGCGTTTATTCCTTATCAGCTGATAAATGGGGGTTAAATGTAGCCATGTTCCGTGTTCTCTGAATAGTCACATGTAGCCATGTTCTATGTTCTCTGAATAGTTAAATGTAGCCATGTTCTATGTTCTCTGGATATTCACATGTTCCAATGTTCCGTGTTCTCTGAATAGTCACATGTAGCAATGCTCTATGTTCTCTGAATAGTTAAATGTAGCCATGTTCTATGTTCTCTGGATAGTCACATGTAGCAATGTTCTGTGTCCTCTGAATAGTTAAATGTATCAATGTTCTGCGTTCTCTGAATAGTCACATGTAGTAATGTTCTATGCTCTCTGAATAGTCACATGTAGCAATGTTCCGTGTTCTCTGAATAGTCACATGTAGCAATGTTCCGTGTTCTCTGAATAGTCACATGTAGCAATGTTCTATGTTCTCTGAATAGTTGTGATTAGTCAGACCAATAGCATTTCGCTGTTTCGGGTGTATTGGACGACACCCACCAATATGGAGACACGCAGGATGTCTAGTTGTGAGAGCATAACTCATGACACATAGAAACGCACGTGCTGTAACGTTATAGCAACTGAAATTGTATTACTTGTCTTTTTCAATGTCTTAGCAGCCCAAGTGCTGACATCAGTACATGTAGCCCATGTTTATGTGGAATTTGCTTCTCTAAGGAGCAGGTGCGTGATCCGACATTCATCTCTGGAGTCTGCCATGTGGCAACCATACCGTCTCCGACTCAGGCGTCATGCCCGATGTTGGCTATGTGTGCAACACAACGAGCATATGCGTCTTCATACAAAGAAACACCGCTAATCAGTTAACCCGTCTAACGGACGATTGCCGTTGTAACAAACAGGTTACTGCATCAGTTATTCTTTCGAATGTGTTTGTTAATCCTGGCGATTTTACATGAAGCGGTTTTGTTCGCATTAATAGGGTGTCGCTGTCTATAACTGCATCTTAACATTCATACATTTGTTTTACTTTAGGACGAATGCTGTTGCTGCGAGTTTGGGTTGTCCGCCAGACTGTCTGCTATTAACCTTGCCATGTCTCATGAAAAGCACGTTTCGAGGAATATCACCAAGTCGTTAACATTGTTCAACCCATCCTCGCTGAGTCTGATTCATGGAATAGTGTCATTAGCCTGTACTGTATGTTTGTATGTTGCAGAGGCTCACGATGAGGATGAATGACGTCCTCCACAGTCTGATGTCCGTGGTCGTCGGCGTTCAGTTGCTGGGTGACGTTGTCGGCAACATGGCGCCGTTCATGAGAAGGGCGATCCAACCTTCATTGCCCGTAAACCCCGCTTCCCAAGGACTGATGTTGAAAATACCCATCCGTGATTCTGACCTTCTCAGACTCAAACCGAGGAAGAAGCATCTCAAGACACACAAACTCATGAAAAGACTTTCAGGGGATTTCAACAAAAACTACATGTCTGTCGAGAGACCGAGCATTGTTAATGAAATAATAGTGCAACAAGTGCAGGACGAGACGGTGGACGCCGTACAGAGCCTCGACATCGACCTGACCGACATCAACGGCTTGCAGCTTCAGTTGAATCAGACGGTGATCCAAGCGATGCAGTCTTGGCTGGTTCGCAGGGCTTCGTGCCCGGTCCATTACCGCTGGGAGGACCTTGGTAGCTTCTTCTGGCCACGCTGGATTAAGCGTGGGGAGTGTGTAGGGACCCCTTCCTGTTCCTGGCCCCCAGGGATGCACTGTATCCCCACTAAATCACGACGGATCAAGATTCTCAGGTGGCACTGTCGACCCTGGCGGGGAGGCAGAGGTCGAGGCAGACGACCCTCAAGGCATGGCGGGAACACGGATGATGACTCCAATGACACGGAGACCTGGGTGCGACCCCACAGGGGCCGCCATGTTAAACTCGGGAAGCGATGCAAATGGGTGAAGGTGCCGTACCCAATCACAGATTCGTGCTATTGTGGATGCTGAGCAGGACTACCTTGACCTGACAAGGATACTGTGAATCGAGTGTATTGTGAGCAACGCCTCACGGACACCAGGTGGCGCTGATGTGGCATATGCATAACTGTTGTGCGACGTATGCGGACTTGGTATATAGAGGGCTTCGTGTTGTGTAACTGTGGAACGTGCTGGAACCATGGACCATCATGGTATGACACCTGAACATGCTGAAGGCGATGAAACTTGTTCCGGTTCCGCCGGAAGTTGACTGTATTACCGCCACATCGCGAGTGTGATACATATTAGTGTTGTATGACATGTACATATGTGTGTATAATATAGGTATAATGTGTTGTTGCATATTTTTACGTATACACTGCTTACAACACAGCTATAATGTGTTTGACAAAGGGAGTTTCTCACCGACGTAGAATAATCTTAAGCCGACATGCCATCTATGACCACCGGAGATTGCCGAGAGTCAACTGAGTTCACAGAACCTTTGTTTCAGCACGTGTTGAACCTGCAGGTGTCCATGGTTACCGACGAATGTTGTAAAATGTAATATTGTAGCACCGTTGGTGTTATCCCGTTCCTGACAAAAATTGGATTAATGGAACCCTGAGATCAGATATTAGGTAGGTAGAACATTAATCAAATGATGTCTTGGTCGGTGTGTACCGATAGCTTTGAAGCCTTCGTGAGATAAAATATGAGATCTCTTGTGAACGCGTTATTTAAAGGGATGCTCTTGAAAGAGCAGTAACGATGTCGGGGCGTGGACCAACATACACGCCCTAGAAGTGAAGATGTCGTGTCACCAGCGGAACGTCAGAGCACGGTGGTTATGCTAATGGTCTGGATATTCGGGGATGGCGCGTCGGTATCGTGTCGGCTGTAAATACCATGCTTTACACATAGGTACTGTACATAAAGTGTTATGTAAATATCAAACTTTGAACAGTTATTATAAAGTATTATTTGCATTTACACCATATGTTGTTTTTATGTCATTTCACGTTCTTTTCAACATAACATTTCGTTCCCGTTCACGCAAACAATATGATAGAGGAGTTTTGCTGTTCTGAATGTGATAGTTCCCTTACCCATGTATTCAATGTCTTTACTGGCGGGATCCCTTACATCCGGCGTCCAATGTCCTAGTTATTTTTTTTTAAATTCATCCTAAATTTAGCTCGTGTTTTTTATTTGTTTATTTTTTTTAGTTTTGTGACTCTGAACTAAAGCATCACTATGCTATGGATCTAATGAAAGTTATTACCCTCCCAACCCAAGTCTCTTCTCAAATGATATACACACAAATAAAAATTTGCAAAAGAGAGTGCCCAACATTCCTGGTCCATGTTTTTGTATTTCAACCACACTCTGCTACACCACGGTATGTCTTATCAACAGCGTTCCATTAACACCCTAGCATGCGCCACGTTTTTCCTGGAGCCCACGAGCACGGTAATGGTGCAGTCAAACCAATGGTCCTAATGGGATTCGATCCACGACAAGCGTCTAAGGGAGGCAACACATCAAATTGGTGTGTCCTAAAGTAGCCAACGAGCGCTCATAGTGCAGTTTATAATCCCCAAACGAGGCTTACATCGTCGCCCTATCCATTCATGTTTTTAACTCCACCTAAATCCTTAGTGGTAGTCGTTAGAACACTGGTGCATTGTGCAGAAAGGGATCCTATGTGACGTATTTATGTCACGTGTCACTTGCGGTGTTTGGGTCTCGGTCGATGTCTCCCTCACACGTGAAGATCCGGAGAAGAACAGGTCTTCAGCAACGCATGCTTGGCGTAAGAGGCGACTAACGGGATGGGTGGTCAGGCTCGCTGACTAGGTTGATGCATGTCATCGTATCCCAATTTCGTGGATCGATGCTCATGATGTCAGACACTGGATTGTCTGGTCCAGACTCGATTATCTACAGACATCCGCCATATGGCTAGAATACTGCTGTGTGCAGCGTTTAATAAAGAAACAAAACGATGTCTCCCTTTAACCACATGCCGAGATGACGTATCTGCCGGTGTCTCGCGTTGTGTTGGGTCAGCTCCTTCAGCTCCGTGCATACTGTGTGTTGATGCCACGGTATGCTGATGGCTGATCTCGCGTGGGTCACACGAGACTTTGATTCCCGAGATTGTAGTGTTGGCTAGCCACAAAGCACTGCATTCACAGCTTGGAATTCTAAGCTGTGATAGCCTATGGCCATATTGGCGTCGTTGATGGTCTGATTAACTACTGGTGAATGTAAGCTGGGAGATAGGGAAGCCAAGTTCCTTGCTCTAGTTTCGGGGACTGTACACCTCATAGATGGTGGGGACTTGTTTTCAGATGGTTGAGATAATGAGATGTAATACACGGACTAATAAGGGAGGTCTTCTGCCCAGCGGTCCAGCAGATGAAAGCCATCTGCCCCCAACTCCGGCGGGCGATCTGGTCGGGAGGGTATCTCCTCCAGGGGTGATACACATAACGGTACAGAATGGGGTGTTAAAGGGGAACTGCACTCGGGTAATTGGCAGTATCGGCATTGAGTGTATTTCAGTGAGTGAGTATGTGTTAACGCCACTTTGTACAGTATTCCAGTAACTATATTATGACGTGTCAGTTAAATGTGGGAGGAAAGCCCGAAGTAATGCAAGTCTTAGACGTTTATCACTTGGTGAAACCCACGAGCAGAGGTATGGTGCTGCTAAACTTAAAAACAATCGGGGCGAAGCGGGATTCGAACCCACAATCATAGGTTTCTGGCGTGCCTCTTCACAGCAAGACCCGTAAAGAACATGGGTTAAATAGGTCTTCAGAAACCCATGCTTGCCGTAAAAAAGGCGACTATGCTTGTCGTAAAAGACGACCAACGGGATCGGGTGGTCAGGCTCGCTGATGCTGGATCGATGCTCATGATATCAATCACTGGATTGCCTGGTCCAGACTCTGTTATTTGCAGACCGCCGTCATATAGCTGGAATGTTGCTGACTGCGGCGTAAAACAACAAACCAACCAATCTTCACAGCAAATTATACATGTTGGACGAAAAGGTCCCCTTTGCCTCTGTATGTCTGTATCTTGCTGTGTATAATCATGTAGATATGAGTATCAACAGTACACAGCCACAATGCCGTCATCTTAACACCGCAAAAAACTTCGGGGGAAAAGAAAGCCTACAATTTAATTTGACCCAAAAATTGCAAACGTTTTTAAAAGGTTACTAGTGTGAAAACAGTCCCAGGAACACTGCAAACTTAAGGTCCAAATCACAACTCTGATACCTGTATAAAATACTTCACCATCGCCAGCATCAAACATGGGTGTATACTTTCTTTCGCCCGCCAGTTTAGTTCCAGCAACTACGGTTGAAATGGATACCTGACCGTGGAACATTGTGTTCATTTACAGGATGCAGTTAACTGATGGGGGTGGGGCTACACCGGGAGATACTCAGCATGAGGAAGCAAGGGTAACCCACAATAAGTTAAATTTATGTCACTTTATCAGGATCGCCGATGTCACTATGGAGATGACAGGATCATGTCACTGTCAAAAAGTCAGGATCACCCATGTCACTATAGAGATGACAGGATCACTCATGTCACTGTGGAGATGAGAGGATCACCGATGTACCTATGGAGATGATAGGATCACTCATGCCACTATGGAGATGACAGGATCACCGATGTCACTATGGAGATGATAGGATCACTCATGTCACTATGGAGATGACAGGATCACCGATGTCACTATGGAGATGACAGGACCACTCATGTCACTATGGAGATGACAGGATCACCGATGTCACTATGGAGATGACAGGATCACCGATGTCACTATGGAGATGTCAGGATCACCGATGTCACTTTGGAGATGACAGGATCACCGATGTCACTTTGGAGATGACAGGATCACCCATGTCACTATGGAGATGTCAGGATCACTCATGTCACCATGGAGATGTCAGGATCACCGATGTCACTATGGAGATGACAGGATCATTCATGTCACCATGGAGATGACAGGATCACCGATGTCAGTGTGGAGATGACAGGATCACCGATGTTACTATGGAGATGTCAGGATCACTCATGTCACTATGGAGATGACAGGATCACTCATGTCACCATGGAGATGACAGGATAACCGATGTCACTATGGTGATGACAGGATCACTCATGTCACTATGGAGATGTCAGGATCACTCATGCCACCATGGAGATGTCAGGATCACAGATGTCTCTATGGAGATATCAGGATCACCGATGTCACTATGGAGATGACAGGATCACCGATGTCACTATGGAGATGTCAGGATCACTCATGTCACTATGGAGATGACAGGATCACTCATGTCACCATGGAGATGACAGGATAACCGATGTCACTAAGGAGATGAAAGGATCACCGATGTCACTATGGAGATGTCAGGATCACCGATGTCTCTATGGAGATATCAGGATCACCGATGTCTCTATGGAGATGTCAGGATCACCGATGTCTCTATGGAGATGACAGGATCACCGATGTCTCTATGGAGATGACAGGATCACCGATGTCTCTATGGAGATGTCGGGATCACCGATGTCACTATGGAGATGTCAGGATCACCGATGTCACTATGGAGATGTCAGTATGACGCATATGATTAGCAAGATATACGGATCTTCGTATCGTGTGGTTGACATAGGTATTGCGATTTCAAGATAACCCATATCATGAGGGCGACATAAGGATAACCCATATCATTATTTCGATGTCAAGATCACCATAACACTATTGATATGTCATGATAACCCCATCACCGCGGAGTCCCTCGCACAACTCGCCAACACAAGGGTCCCCATTAACACGCCCTGTTTTCTCAGTCGGAGTGTTAAAGAGTGTTTGGCAGGTGCCATGAAGCAGACCTTGTGAGAAAGTAGGTAACTAGCTTCATTTGGCTCCTGTACACACAGGAATAAGACGCTGGTGCCGGGACGTCAATGATAGTGGTAATTCCAGTGACGTCACAGGGAACCTATCCCCAGTACTCGGTGCCACACCTTATAGTTTCAACCAACTGAAGGCTATTTATGAATGGTTTTAAAAAATACCCTTTTCATGACATCAAACGGCTCAGTGGTTAGCATGGACGCTGATGTCCTTGACGGAACAATATTTATTTGTTATTCTCGTCTATATCTATTTGGAAAGATCACATTGCTCGTCGTAGCGATAACAGTCGTAGAATGAGTGAGAATTGTTTTACGCCGCTTTCAGCGGTGTCGTGACGGGCCACGGGTGTTTGTAACGCAAAAATTAGCAACAAGATATATACGGTAACTAACGGGGTGATGGTACTATATAAAAGGATATCTCTTGCTGCTAATTATTGTTACAAGCCCCCATGGACGGGGCGGCACTCATTGTAGCGAGTGAGTGAGTGAGTTGGGTTTAACGCCGCTTTTAACAGTATTACAGTTATATCATGGCGTGTCAGTTTCATGTGGGAGGAAAGCCCGAAGTGATGCAGATCTCAGACGTTTACCACTTCGGTGAAACCCACGAGCACGAGTATTGTGCTGACAAACCTAGAAACATAATCAGAGCGAACCGGGATTCGAACCCACAATCATAGGTTTCTGGCGTACCCAAGGGACGTAACTCTGCACAGCGAATCGCGGCGCCTTAGACGACTGGGCCACCCGTGGCCCCCACTCATTGTACACATGCAGGGAATCGCGTAGGCATTCGGCGTGACGAGCGACCATGTGATCATATTATTATTATATGACCGCAGTCATATAGCTGGAATATTGGTGAGTGCGGCATTAAACAACAAACAAACAAAACATAAACATTCGTACCCGTTCCGGTTGATAATGGGAGTTGGGATTAAGGTCGCTTTGTACAGTGTTTCAGTGATATCACGGCGAGTCAGCAGCATCTGTGAAACCTGGCCCCGGCCTCAAGAATGCATATTAATGCAAATAACAAG